AAGTATGTTTTATTTTACCTTCCAAGAGGAGAAGACAGAGCTTGGGCTGATAAGATTGGGGTCCTGGGGACTCTGAGCCCCCATCAGCTCGTCAGTGCACACATCACAGTCCTGTGCATCTCTCCAGTCCCAGTAGGGAATGGAGAAAGTCATGTCGCCTGTCAGCTTCCTGATCTCATGTTCCCAGTGCAGCAAGTAAACACGGTGCCATGGTGGAAATGCAGGAGCCCAGTGTGCAAAGTCCACATTTCTCCAGACATTCCCTGGCCCACCTAACAGTGCATTGCGAGACACATAGTAATGCATCCAGACAAACATATCATACACAGAAACATTAGCAAACATCGGATTGGAGCCATTCTCCATCTCCCTATAGGTCCCTGTTGCAACAACATAGTCCCCGCTGATTGTCTGCTTGGCGAGATTCAGGTAAGAAATAAATCTGTTTCTCTCAGCCCTGGTCAGGTGGAATATGTTTCTTCTAAGGGACTCTCTTCTTTCATTGCAGTTGTCCCCAAAGTAGCCAAACTTGCAGTCCCCGCAGTTAAACCCCATAAAGTTCCCTGCACACTGACAAGTCCGGTTGTAGAAAACCAAAGGCCACTTCTCTCGATCATCCAGTCCTGAGAAGGGGTACTGTGGTCCGTCAGGCTGCTCTGAGATCTCCACATCCTCACAGGAGCCCCTGCCTGACCTGGCTCCACAAGCTGAGCTGTCCCCCTCCCACACCGGACAGCACTCCTTGGTCCTCAGGGCTTGTTGCGTTACGCAAAGGCGAGGGAACTGCTGATAGGTGGGCACCAAACACAGGATGAAAATAAGAACTTTTAACTCCCACATCTCAGCCTTTTCCTTTCAGAGGCAAAGCAGACACTGAGATATGAACCAAGAACTGCCACAGTGGGAAAGTGGGAGGAATTTTCTCTGAAGTTCTTGAGATCCCAGTACCACCCTCCACTGCTCTCGCAGTCACATGCTATAATACCCTCATGCTTACCTCATGAGTGGTGCAAACAGCCTGAGAAGAACCTACTCATCCAAGGACGGGTGTAATCTTCATAGTTTAATTCAAGTAAAGGCAGTTCAAAGTGCATTATATAACAAAAACATAACACAATAACTAAACAAACAAATATTACATTCCATCATCAAAATCATCAAGAAAAATCATCATCAAGTATACATCAAATAGAAAATTAATGTTCCAGTGAATAATAAGTACTGTAAATAATAAGTCAACTCTCAATAGGTGTGTTTTTAGGCTGGATTTAAAGGATTTCAGTGTTTTAGCACATTTGGTTTTGGACATTTCCAGGTTTCCAGGCTAAATATTTATATTTTCCTTTTTCCAGAGGTGGTTTGTATTTAATAAGGCTGTTTCAAGGGCAAGAACTACATTTTAGCCATTTCTATAAATGCAAATGTATATAAGATGTTTATTCTATACACTTGTCCCATTTCTATCCCTTATTTAGTTATGTTACCACAAACTTCAATGTTTCTGTGTTGAGAAATTCTATGTGATCAAGTAACTCAAATGAATGCATTGCTTTGAATTGGAAGGAAAATAATATGTTTTTCAAAATGTTTTATTGATAAAAACCTAAAATGTATAATAAGCATCTCCACATTTCCAGAATCAATAAAATGTGCTTTGGGGTTTATTTCCATTAGATTGAAGTTATATATATACTGTATATTAAACACCCCTTTTTGGTGGTATACTTACTAATTTTATGCTTCGGATTGTGTTGGCATGAATCTAACTCCCAATATATAGCCACACAGAATATCAGTGTATTTGCTGTGGTTGCACTGTGAAACTCTCTCTGACAGTAGTGGGACCATAGTTTAAAATTCTGCCACAAAAACCTCACTCTGTATGCATATTTAATTTTAACATTAATGTTAATGTTAAATTCATGCATTTTTCAGCTTCGATTAACTAACACACTTACAGGCAGTGCCTAACAAAAGAATAATAATTAAAAAAAACTCCACAAATTTATTGTAAGTTTTTTTAACCCACTAAAAAGAACAAACAACCTTTGTCTAATCCTTGACATTTTCTACATTCCCCAGAAACCACTTACTCTGTCGTCGCTTATCATAGATACGGGACTGTTCACTGCAAAGACCAGAAACAAAGTCTTCACTGAGAAGCAGCTGACTTATACACAATTGCTCTGAGCAGTTCTTTGCTCTGTGATGATTCTTAAGAAGAAAAACTCAAATGTCTTAACATCACTGATGCTGTCTCATGTGACATTTAGTACTCAAGACAGCATGCCATTGTTAAAAAGATCAGTGTTCATAAATTTGTTTATCTTGATATCTCAACTCATCTGCTACCTCCCCTGTGTTTGCCACAGGGATGCAATGCAGGCAGTAAAGGCCAGTATCTTACCACTAGTGGGCGCCATGTATATTTTTTTATTTCTTCAGCCTGCATCTTTCCCCTGGTAGCTGTTAAAGGAAAAATACTCATTAACTTGATTATACAGTGTTTATACTCATTATGCTTTTCTCCTGCCAACAAGATGCAAATAAGCACATTTATGGGAAGAATTTTTTGAAAAACAAATATAAAGAAGAAAAAAGTTGGGAAAATACAGCAATACATGGTCTGACTGCGATAATAACTGTAATAATCTCTTAAAGATAATTGTTTAACCATATGTAGGTTAAATTGGTTTGACTGAAAATAGCTAAACATTCTCATCTTGTTATAGCCTATAACAGGTTGTGTAAATTATGTTCTAAATACATTTTTAAATATGTTACTGAACCACTATAATTTCCAGAATGGTCTTGATTGTCATATAAGTGAATCATTTCTTTTTATTAAGCACTTTGGCTGCACTGCAGTGCTGGTATTTCTGTGTGCTCTCCTTGTTCTCTAACGACTCATTTTTGCAATTAGTTCCAAAAAACAATAATAGTTTTTGAAACAAAAGACGTATTTTGTGTTTCAAAACACAAAATACTTGTGTTTGAGTTTCAAAGTCTCATTTTTACTTCCTGTTTTCCAACAGCAGAGGATGCTTGTCCTAATGAAGAATTTTAGTTTAGGTATATCTGAGGTAAAAAGGCTTTAGGAACGGTGTGAAAAAGATTTTGTTTAGCTGTTCACTAAAGTCTAACACGTATTTCTATTTCTACATTCTTCAGAGATCTACTGACTCTGGTGATAATCAGCAATATATTTCACAATTCACAGTAGGGACCTTATGTCCTCAGTGAGAAGCAGCTGACTCACAACCTTGCTCTGGGCAGTGCTTTGCTTTGTAAAGGATTCCAAGAACAAAAACTTGAATATCTTTAAATCACTGCTCCTCTCTCACAAGACTCTCAACACTCAAGACTGCAACCAATTTCAACAAAACCTTGTTGTCTTTTGATTTGTTTAGCTTCATTATTGGTCTGCCAGCAAGTATTGCAAAAATGGCAAATGTAGTCGATGAAAACTGGTGTCCTGCCACTAGAAGGCGCCATGCATCTATTTAGACACTGAGTACAGTATATCTTGCGTCCTGCATAATGACCACTGAAGACAGGCACCAATCTAATATGGATAAATGTGTATAAAGAAATAAAAGATAGACATATAAGACAAAAGAGGAAATCTGTTTGTTTTTTCTCTTTTATACAATTACAGGCACATGCAAGGCTGCCATATTAGAATTTGATACTGTGATTGGTGAGAAACTTCTGACTATACTCTCAGAAACAAAATTTCAGTGGGCTGTTCTTTTGATTTCATTGTTTGTGAGCTTCTGACTGAAAATGGAACACATAATTAAACCAACTTCACGATATGCCACAATGTATTTTATTTTATGAAATATAATACTTTATTTTATTGTATTTTTTAGTCCTATATAGTGCTGTTCTAAGTTCCACATTACTTGAAACTTAAGATTCAGTATCTGGTTGTCTTCAAGAGTCTGCCATGCAACGGTGCAACCTCCCCTAATTCATATTGTACAGTCATATTGTAGCAGAAGAGCTTAGACTTTTGCTGCACAGAGTTTATATGTTCTCCCAGCGTGTCTGAGTTTCTCTTGGTATTCTAGCCTTCTACATCCTGAATGAATGAATGAATGAATGAATGAATGAATGAATGAATGAATGAATGAATGAATGAAAGGACGAAAGGACGGATGGAAGTCATGTTAACATTTAAATTGAGATTCTTTGTCATTGTGTTTGTGATAAACATTTGAGAACTTGAAGGAGATCGTTGGTGAATTACCATTAAAGAATATTTAGAGGCTTTCAAGAATAACTTTGGGAAAGTCATCTGATTATTTTCTGAGGAAAAGATGCAATTACTGCAATGAGTTTGTGCTAACCTACACTTTAGCAAATTTAGCAACCTTCAAATTCCCGCCTCATTTCCAAATAAATGTAATAACCTCTTAAAGTTTTCAAAGGTTAATCATTAATTTCGAAAGATTTACAATCAAAGCATAAAACGGCACAAAAACATTTAAAACCACTTTGGAGATATGTCTTCTTGTTTTTCAGATTTTATTCCCACAGGCGTAGGTTCTCTGTATTGACAGCATGAGGCTGCCAGATAGTTGAAGCTAATATGTACTGTCGTACCTGCAAAAGCTGCAAAAAAACTTAAAACTAAGGAGTTTAGCAGGAGGACAGCTCTTGCAATCAGAGCATCAACGGAATGGTTTAGGTGGCCCAAACAAAGTCAGTGAGCTTAAACTATTATTTATATTACAATTGTCTTCCTTTTTTACTTAGTATTTCATAAAAACAATAATGTGCAGTGAAGTTTGAGGTTCCAGTGTGTATTTTCTATTTCCACAAGTTCCCATCCGAACAATCGGTGGTGAAGCTCTCCACACTGTTTTGGATGTAGAGAGAATGGAGGAGGAGAGGGGAGTGGAGGAGCTAGCAGAAGAGTGGGAGAGAAGGAGGGGGGTTATCTTGTGCGTCAGTAAGTCAAGCATGTTCCAATAACGGGCTGTATTATCTGCTGCTATTTGCAGTTTGCCGTAGCCAGGCACTGGACTGAGCTCGAGGAAAAAAGCTGCACATGCTGCTCTTTACTTTTCCTCTGTGATGGAAACGATCTCAAATGGACTGAAATCTGGATGGCAAAAGGTAAGCACAATGCATGTGTTTGTTTAGTTTTTAGCTCAGCTGTAAAATTTAGTATCAAGTTAAGGTATCTTGTTCTGACTTCAGTTCTTCCACACCTAGCTTATGTGCATCTTTTTCCTCAGGAGGAGTCTAACTCTTGTCTGTGGCTTTTCTCTCTCCATGCAAAACACAAGAGATTCATGTGAGAGGGCAGAGGATGGAGGAAGGTTTAAAGAATAGCACATGGACAATGAAAATATTATGTGTGAGGTTGTTTGGAATCATTCTGTTGCTTGCAACTGATCTGAGCTGGCTGAGCTTGAAAGAGCAGGCTGTGGCCAGTGCCCAGAATAATGAGAGAAGGGTGCTGGCGCATATCCCAGGGGACATTATCATTGGAGCTCTGTTCTCTGTCCACCACCAACCACCTGCAGACAAGGTACCTGTTGTGTGAGTTTATGTCCTTGGGTATCCTGTATCTGTGTGATGAAGGTTAACAATCCACTTGTTGGTCCACTTTGTTTAGGTGCATGAGCGAAAGTGCGGTGCAGTGCGTGAGCAGTATGGGATCCAGAGAGTGGAGGCCATGATGCACACTCTGGACAGGATTAATGCAGACCCCAATATTCTTCCCAATATTTCTTTGGGCTGTGAGATAAGGTCAGCAACAGGAGCAGTGACTCCACTTATTCTTAGCAAGTCAATAATTAACCTACTCAGAGTGATCTGTTAGAAAAAAAGGACTCAGTTACAACTTGTAATGAATCAAAACCAACAAAAAAAATCGTAAATAAGTTAGGATGAAGCTGATGACTTAAGCTATAAATAACCAAAGATAATGTGATGTATAAGGGTTTGCATTACGCTTTTGACATTTAAATGTCATTTAGACAACTTTGAAATTTAAAACAGCCAGCAGTTTTGAAAAATAGATACAATCTTATTCAAGAGTTGTTAAATGCTTTAGGTAGTCAGCTATGGCAGTTTGATTAAGAAATCAAAACAAATGTATTCTTAATTAAATATTTTCATTCATTACTTAAATAATATTGTTTTAATCACTCAACTTTTTTCCAGATAAGCTTTCTCAGTCTGCACCCCGGTACATGGAAATTAACCATTAAATATACATACACTTTCACCTCTGCAAGAGATATATAGAAAGGGGAAAACATTAAAATAATAATTCCACCCTTCATCAATAAAGACAAGTTTGAGAAATGCAGCCTTATGAGTAACTTTAGTAAGGGTGAAAAATTTATAGGATAAGTATTGTATTTTTCCATTTTTTCAAAAATAACTGGTGCCACATTAACTAGTATCCCTAGCAATGTCTAAATCTGTTTAATTCAATGTCTGTTGTTCTTTTTTCCAATTAGATTGTTTCTCTGGGTTATATCAATGATGGGAATCATTTCTCCTAACTACTCATGAAGATAGGAAAACATGCTACTTAAATTTGTTACATGCGTTTTAACCATAATGACTTAAAATAGCTACATAAAAATAGTTTCTTGACTAAACTCTCTCATGTTAACAAGTAAAAAAATAGGTACCATTTTTTTAAAATAATGAATGTTGTGACAAATAAACCTGAGTGAAGATTCATGTTTATTTTGCTACAGTGCACAGTGAAGAATATGGTAAGGAAGGTAAAAATATCTCCAAGGCTCAGTGTTAGAAAAATGCAGCAAAGAGTAACTAAGGGTCATCAAGTTTCCATAACAACCATGTATTTTAGGGGTTTTAATATATCTCTGCAAGGAATAGTTATAAATGTGAAATGAACTATCAAGGAGATCAGAAAGAAATACACAAAAAGACCAATCAATCTAAAAGTAAATTATTTGAAGATAAAAGTAAAACAATTTTAGGTGAGAGGGGAGCAAGAATAATCTTCCAAGGAGACTTCTGGGAACTGGATACAAACTAATGATCCCTTCATAGATAAAAATGCACAAGAAAATGACAGACGGCTGGTTGAGAAGGAATTTAATTAACTTTTAATTAACAAAATGAAGCAAACAATTATCCTTCAAATCTTTAAGGATCAAAAAGGTATTCCAAATAAACCAGTTGCCTTCTTCCCACTTGCAAAGTACCTCAAACCAGAGGTTCAGACATATTTTTGGAATAATCATTGAGAGTTTCAACTACGACCAAAATAGCCACAGCAGCCTGTTCTTGTTGTGATTACTGGCGAGCTCATTACTGAGCACAAAATGTAGAATATCTAGTTTTTCAGCTTTAGCAGAACCATGGCTCTGATTATGTTGTTGTTGTTGTTGTTGTTGTTGTTTTTTGTTTGTTTTTCAGATAACCGTTTTAAGTTTGCAGTGAAGAAGTAGTACCACCAGTTGTTCTTGACACTTTATTATCTGCTTAAATTTAAATTTGAATTCTTTGGAATATTCTCCCAAAGAATTGGGAAGATTATAGCGTATAGAAGCTATAAACACCAGCCTTCTGTTTATATATTTTTCTGGATAAGCAATTCTTTTTTTACTTTAGCTTATGAATTATATATTATATGTACATGTCTTTTTATTCATTACTACTACTTTTTTAAAATTAATTTTTTATTTACTCATATAACACAATTTGAAAACCATGACCTTGAAGTAAATCCAGGTTTAGTAGATGGAGAAACCCTTTTTGAAATGATGAACGTCTCCAGTCATTTTGCTACAATTTGTAGTTTTGTTTCCAAAATATCAATGAGCATTACAAGAAAAGAAGAAGATGCTTGTGATTCACTATGATGAGAAGTGAATGAAGTCAGCCTCAAACATACTTTATTGAATCCCGGTCAAAGCTTAATAAAATCTGAGCTTAAAATAACTTAAATAAAATGCCATGTTTACTGACTAATTCAGACAGTGGAAACGCCTCCTATCGGTTTTGAAGCCCTATCAGATCATCTCTCCCTCTAATCTTTTTGCCAAAATATTGTGATGGTGAGCTCAATGTTTGTTCACCAGGGACTCGTGCTGGCATTCAGCGGTGGCTCTGGAGCAGAGCATTGAGTTTATCCGGGACACACTAGTGTCCAGCGATGAGGAGGAGAGCCAGGCCAGATGCACAGCAGAAGCAGGGAACATACTCCTGCAGGGAAAGAAGCCCATCGTGGGACTCATCGGACCAGGATCCAGCTCCGTGGCTATTCAAGTGCAGAATCTTCTGCAGCTCTTCAATATCCCACAGATTGCATACTCAGCCACTAGCATGGATCTCAGTGACAAGGTAAAGTTGGAAAATAAACCAGAAACGTTAAAAGTTTCTGTTGAATTTTATAACCTAGAGGCCAGATGCTATGTACGTACAAATTAGTGTTCAGATCATTCTTTGAAAACACACACAAGTATGTCATCAGACTTGTGAATATGTAAATCTCTCCCAACAGAGTCTATATAAATACTTTATGAGAGTGGTGCCATCAGATATGCAACAAGCCAGAGCCATGGTGGACATTGTCAAGCGGTATAGCTGGAGCTATGTGTCTGCAATACACACAGAGGGTAAGACTCTATGCCTGTGAACAAACATAACATCTTAATACCATTGAAAGCAAATTAATTCCAGTAAATTAACCCAGCTAGTGAAACCTACGTGCAATTATATGAAATAAATAAGAAATATTGACAAGTTCATTTATTTGAGTTACTACACACAAAGTGATGTTTTTCTGTAAGAACACAAAATGTTACATTTTACATGAGATCATAAAACAATTGAGCTTTTTTTGCATCACTTACTTCATTAATGCAGCATGGCATGGAGGAGATCAACTAGCTCTGCTCGGGTGTTCAGGAAACTAAGGTGGCTTTACAAGTGGCCTTTAACTGGTCTGCATTGTCAGACTCGCTAAACAACAAAAAGTAATGCAGGCTAGCTAAGGGCCACTATTAAAGCCACCTTAGCTTCCTGAACACCTGAGCAGAGCTTCGCTTTCACTCATCTTCCTCTGGACAAAATCTCATAGATTAAAGGTTTAGGTCAGAAGATTTTGCTGTTCATCCAGAAAAATAATACCATGATCAGCAAAGAAGGTACTGGCCTTTTTGACACTGTTACAGGTGTAGTCAAAAATATGCTCAAACATATACAATTTAACATTAACATATACATTTTATACTGGCAAATGACAACGTTTTCAGAATATTCTAGCTACTAAAATGTATTTTCAGTTTACTCGATCCATCACTGCAACACCAAAACAGTAGATACTTCCTGTAAAACGTCTGGTTTTGAAGGTTCTGTTGTGTAGTTTCAGTAGTTTGTAATTTTTCATTGAAACAAACAGAGAAAAACTATTACATGATTTGCTTGAAATGCTCAAAAGGACACATGGCATCCTACAATCTTTTGTTTTAATTATTATTTAGATTTGTAAGCCATCCTCTAAACCTGGCAAAACACATGAGGAATAAGCACACACTTCTGTCATCATTTTCATAGATTCGGTCCTTGAGTGACTAATCCTATTTATTAGGAAACAAATGTGCTGCCAGTGTATAATCCTTGATTTTTTTCTTTAGTGTGTTACCACACTTGCTGTTAAGCTTTCAGTGTTCTTACCACTGTTTATTAATGTGCTTGAATAATTGCTGAATCTAAACTGTATTTTCTGTTTTCTTATATAACCAACAGACTGGTGTTGAACAGAATTTTCAAAACAGATATATCGCATTTCAAATGTTATTTTCTGCTTTGAGAACTAAGGTTGTCAGTTGTTTCTCCAAGAAAAACCAGGAATTTTATGTTATTTCTTTCAGATCCCAGTAGGTAGTGGATTTGCACAGTAACCCTACAGAAAAAGTTTATGTCTTGCAGTTGTATCCAGGATCTTATCATTATTAAAAATGTTACCATAGGTGAGAGATGGAACATGGACTAAACTGAATTCTTTGAATTTTGGGTATGTCATTTCTTCTCCACAACAAATTATAGTAACAGTTGTAAAGCTGAAAAAGAGTCTCCAGTCTATCTATTCATGTCCCTCTTCCAAGAGCGAACAGTTCATCTTTTGGGGTTGAGAATCATGCTCTTAAACTTTGAGGGGATTACGCTCAGCTGTGAACAGCTTCAGTGCCACTGAAGGGCATGTCTGAAGGACACTAACAGAACTGCATCATCTGCAAAAAAAGAAAAAAAAAAGACATAATATCTTGAAGTTATCAAACAAGAGACCTCCATAATGATTATTCTCAATAACCACCATAAACAAACAGATGGTGCAACCCTGCTCCAGAATGTGAGAAAAGCTTTTGCTTTGGGCAAAATATAGGAAAAGATAGCTTTAAAAGCAAACCAGCTACTCTGTCGTCTTGCATTGTTTCTAACAAAATATACTGAATGACTCTTCAGATCAACAAAGCACTCAAAACATCAGGTCACAGGAGTTTAGTTGATAAGTTTTGCCTTCAAAATTAAAATAATTATGATTTAGGACAATGTTATCACAAAAAATGGATAAATATTTTTAAATAGTTCTCAAACAGCCAAATATAGCAGGAAGAATCTAAACAACTTAACAAAAACAGTTCTTCATTTCTTTTTTTTAAGACTTCTGTGGCACTAATGGCTTTTTTTTTATTTTTTAGTAGCTTGACAGGAGGAAAGGCAGAGAGAAAGAGGGAGCATATGCAGGAACTGCCCCAGGCTGAGGATCAAACTTGGGACAGTGGAGTGCAGCCTCGGTACATTTTGCTTTACCACAGAGCCACCAGGTGCCCACAATCCTTCATCACTGATGAACGGCACCATTGTATGAAAATTAATAATCCAGTAGATTCTGTATCCACTGGAATTTAAGATGAGCAGAAATTTTAATGGAGGCTCCAATTATTGTGATATGTTTGAAACTTATTGGACATATTAGTAATCTAACCTGTTCAGGAGTAAGCCGCCTTTCACCCACTGACAGCTGGTGTTGGACACCGGCCCTTCCATGTCCCTACAAGAATTAGGCAGGCTTATAAATCTAAGTAATGGACATTAGTCATCAGACCATTTCCTTCAATTATTTATGTATTTAATAAATGTAGGTCAGTCATGCTTGCAGCACCGCAGTGGGCTTCTGTGAACTAATGGCAAAGTTTATGACCCAGTAAATAATTTTTGGTATACACTTGCACAGCCGCAGAAACTAGGCGACCCACTTTTCAGCAATAATGGGGAAATCAATCACTCTACAGCATCTCCCATGACAGGAGCAAAATTACCACATGTTCAAGTGCTGTGTTGGTATTACACAAGTGTATTTCTTTGTTTTCCTGTACTGCAATTACACATGTGAGCCTGCAGAAGAAATTGTTCCCAGAAGAAATCTGTCAGATTTTTGACTAGAGTCCTGCAAAAAAATGTCTGAAAATGATTTTATTCGGCCAGGAAACGTCTCAGTTTTCTCATTTCATTTGTTTAGTTTGAATGACAGACACCTGACTGTGTGTTTTCAATAATGTGCTTCCATCCAAAGGTAACTATGGTGAGAGCGGTATGGAGGCATTCAAAGACATGGCAGCAAAAGAGGGGATCTGCATTGCCCACTCTGACAAAATATACAGTAATGCAGGGGAACAGAACTTTGACAAACTACTCCAAAAACTCATGGCCCATCTACCCAAAGCCAGAGTGGTGGCCTGCTTCTGCGAGGGCATGACAGTCCGAGGCATTCTGATGGCCATGAGACGAAAGCGCCTGGTGGGGGAGCTGCTGCTTGTGGGAAGGTGAGCAGGGAAATCTATCATTTTCAATTGTCGCTGTGTGTATTGTTTGCCTGTACCAGGGAATAAAAGTCAAAGCCATGCACGGTTTGTGCCTCTACATTTACAGTCTTGTTGCTTTCCACTTTCTCCAGATGTCCAGCGTCATCCATCCCGATGTATTTGTTCATAGTGGAACCATCTTTGTCCTCTCATCCTCATCATCATTGCATCTTTCAGTTTAATGGTGACCTTTAACCTTCAAGGTATTTTTACATTCTATGATATTTTTTTTCATAGTGTATTCAGCAGTGTATAAATATCCATATCTTTTGAATGTTTACACATTTTGCAATATTACAAGCACCGATTTCAATGTATTTAGTCTGTATTTTGTATAATAGGCCAGGACAAACTAGTATAAGAATGTGAAGTAGAAAGAAAAGTATATGACAAAATGCTTGCACCTGAAATAGTGAAAAGTTTTGTTCCCCAATCCCTTCAGAAAATTGTTAAATCAAGTATACCTGTGACTAGTGTAATCTCTGTGTTAAATGTAACAACAAGAGCTCCACGGTATCTCTGGAAACATATAGCTAGAAGTACAGATTGATAGTTTAGAGCAATGCTTTTTGTCTATGTTTGAATGACCCAGTAAATCAAATGGAGAACCAGTAGCATGACTTGAAAAAGCTGTTCAGAGTCATTCCATATCCAATTATACTGATCTTGAGCTGTTATACAAAGAAGAATTGAGGAAATGATCTGATGGAGACATAACTCAAAATATGTGCAACTGTAATTACATTAATGGGTAGTTCTTTAAAGCATTGACTCAGAAAGGTTGAATAAAAAGGAATATCCCCTTTTTTAGACATTTTTTGATCCTGAAAAATCTAATTCTTTTCCCCTTTACCCAACAAAGATACACTACTTTGTGTTGGTTTTTCAAATCAAATGTGAAACTCATTAAAGTATAAAACTGTAGTGTGCGCATATTTAAAAAGTTTCAAGGAGTATAGATATTCCTGTGCACAATCGTGACAAATGTGCCTGTTATCTTTTGTAATCCTAATTTTTATGTTTTCAAAGTATCAGTGCAACCCAAATATTAATTGTTCACTTTGATGAAAATAACTGCATTTTCCATGTGTTTAGAAATACAAAGTTGAACGCTCTGTTTTCTCAGTTTCTATAATAAACCATTTTTTATCATATTATACGACCATCTGCCTGCAAATTATTTTAAAAGAAAATAAGCCAAAGATTGGGCAAAAAACATTTCAGAAAACAAAAAGCCTTTAAAATCATTAGCGATGCAAACAAGTGAAGAAGAGGCGGTGGATCTAGCGAGAGGTTCCAGTCTCTCTCCGAGAATAACGTGTTTTATTTTAAGGTTTGGCTCTCTGGCTCGCTCTCGTCCCTGGTGTTCTATAAATGCCTTTCCTCATTAGGAGCCACATATGTAGGCTGTCGCTCAAATTTGACAGCAGGAAATGTAAAATAACCTTGAACTACATATTGTAAAAACACAACTCTCTAGACTTTCCATAAGCTGACACGTCATAAATACTCTAGCTGTGTAGCCATTGTACAATTATTTTATTGATGTCAGTTAAATAGTTAGGATTTCTTTTATTTATATTATGTTTTGCTTATAAAAAGTTATTTGAGATATGCATGCCCCATCCAAAATTTGCTCTTTTAATGTAATCACTAGTGTTTCTTTGTTTTACAGGTTTGTCTAGTGACCTGCAGAAATTTAGATTTTGATGTGAGCCTGGAGATTTTGTTGCTAGTTGTGTGCCTTTGTGCCATGTGTGCATGCCTATGTCCCATAAATGGAGAGAAATACTTGGATCATGCCAAACATATGGAAGAAAGTCCTCCGGTTAGGTCACACCGAAAAATTACTTTTTGAACTGCAAGTAAACCTTGTGTGGTGGAAAATTAACATTGAACATATTCTCATCATGAAACAGGGTGATGGCAGGATCATGCTGAGAGTTTTCTTTTTCAGGGGGAACAGAAAAGCTGGTCAGCCAAAATAATAAAAAGAGACTAGAACAAATTGACATTCTGCAGACATTCTTGGTATAAATCAAAGCAAATATGTGTGTTAGAATGGCCTAATCAAATTCCAGACCCAAGTCTATTTGAGAATCACTGGAAGAAAAGGTAAGTAGCTATTTTCAATCAAATCTAACTGTATTGAGCTATTTTCCAAAGAAGAACGAACAAAAAGCAAAAGGTGCCTTGAAAGGCAGAACTAGTAGAGATACATAGCCCAACATTAAGTATTGGCTGTTAAGTGGTTTATTAAAGGGTGAACACAAAATGCAAGTCAATCTTTTTACTTTTTAAAACTTTATAAAAATCTTATGGTTCCCTTCTACTTCACAAGGATGCACCTCAGCAAGTTTAAGAAGCTTTGAGCGAAAAATCTCCACCTTTGATTCTGGCTGCTGTACACAGTTTTTTCACACAAGAGCTCCTGTTAACCACTTAGAACTTCTATTACTGTAAATGCAATGTGATCCTTCATTAGTTTTCCACCCACAAATGCAGAAACACAGCAGCTGAGATTGCTTATAGGTCATGGAGGAGAAGGTTTAGTCCATTTAGATTAGACAGTTGTTGATGTTTAGTCTATTTTTCTCCCCTCTTGTTCAGTTTCAAGTGTAAAAATGACATCTTTCTTGCTGTTGGATTGTTAAAAAAAATGGGCTGTTCTAAAAATTGTATGAAAAATCAGAGCAAGATGTTTGTGTACACACACTGCATAGCAAGCATATATATGTGTCTTCAGGCATGTAGGTGGTATAGCAACATGCCGTATGCAGCATGGTGCCCTGCTAGGTCGATGTGTGGGTTTCAGAGCGCTTGTTGAACAGTGATTCAAACTATCCAGAGTCAAAGCCCTCTATGCTTTTCAAATCTATTCCTGCCTTTTTTTATGCCAGTGCACCATTTCTGTACTCGCTTCTCTAAGGATGTGTTATGAAATGATCTCCTACCTCACCAGAATCAGGCATTATAAAAACACCCACACACTGTTGTGTAACTCCAGCTTGGCTAAATAAGTTTTCAGACAATTACTTCTCTCACATTTTTTTCTTTAAGTTTGTTAGAAGACATTTGCACCAGTTAGCCATGACATTATGACCACCAGCAGATGTAAACATATAATTATATCACTACTGTGGGTGGCATATATGAAGTTGAAAGGAACCACTCTGTCCTTGAGTGTTTACCTGTTAAAAGCAGAGGTTGGGAAGTTATAAAAATGCGAACAAACTTAATAAAACCCATATATTATAGAACACCTCCAACATTATGTAAAAGGAAGACAAGGTTTGTGAAAAAAATCAAAGCATGTTGTGTTGATCCTCTTTTTGTCAAAAAGAAGATTGACTGAAGCTTAAAGCTGACAGGTTATCAGTTGTTGTGATAGCCATTTGGATGTCTTAGAGTTAAAGTAAAGACTTAGAGTTAAAGACTGTGTTTTTATGGATGGCTAAAAGATGCAAAATAAAATAAATAAATAATTTACATAATAGACAATCACTGCATTAGATATCAATAAACCATTAAGATGCAAACATATAATAAATTAAATAAATCATATTTAATTTATTGTTAATGGTGGATTAGGTGTTCCAACAATTCTGCCAACAAGTTTAATTTAAAATTTGACCTTCTTCCCTACTGAAACAATGCTGTCAAATTAATCTTAAATTCATCTTAATGATTATTGCACATGTACAATTGCTGCAGACAAATACAGGCGTTGTATCTGTTGTCAAATAAATATACAGTATCTGTTCTCTTTTGTTTCTCAGTCATTAAGTGTCAAGTTACAATGGAAAGTAAATGATTTTTTGCATCTTTTGCCGAGGTGACAGTGCCGTCTCAACAGCCAAACCACAGAGTGGGTTGCAAAAATGATAAGCAGTTAACAAGATATTCAAACTGCTGCGGCTCAGAATCGTTTTTGTAAAAGTGTGTACAATTATCCACTTAGTCATTTTTCTCACTATTTGAAATTGCTGGTTTGAAGCCAAACAAATGTAGAAATGGTGTTAAATCTGATAAGAAACATCACATAAATCTGCTCACTTCCAGTTTTCACTCTAACCTCTTGTTTTACTTTCTCTTTTTAGTGATGGCTGGGCAGACAGGTATGATGTCACTGATGGCTATCAAATGGAGGCTGCCGGTGGGATCACCATCAAGCTAAAATCAGCACATGTGAACTGGTTTGATGATTATTACCTGAACTTGAAGCCTGATTCCAATCTGAGGAACCCCTGGTTTCCTGAATTCTGGCAGCACCGTTTCCAGTGTCGACTGAGAGGGCACCCACAGGAGAGCCCAAAGTACAACCGCACTTGCAGCTGTTAGTATTAAAAAAAAACATGCTGCCTGCATCCACATTGAACACTTTTAATCTGTCAGTGACATCATACAATTAAGTTGTTTTTTTTGGTTATGTTAATTTTTGTTCGCCGCAGGGAGAGAATCTCTACGACACCAGTATGCCCAAGATACAAAAATGGGTTTTGTTATAAATGCCATTTACTCAATGGCTTATGGTCTGCATGCCATGCAGCAAACTCTCTGTCCAGGATATAAAGTATGAGCCTCAAAATTGAGCTTATCCAGATTCCATTACTTCTGATGGCAATATCATTTACTGCAAATTTGTTCTGTTTTTCAAAGGGTTTGTGTGAAAACATGCGGCCCATAGATGGCCGTAAGCTGCTGGATTACTTAATGAGAACCAACTTTACTGGTGTGTCTGGAGAGATCATCCACTTTGACCAGAATGGAGACTCCCCGGGCAGGTAAGAACTCTGAAGACGAAAGAAAAGAGAAGATATGCATAGTGTTAAACTGTACACTGAAAATGTAGGTTGATGTGTGCTACAGGTATGAAATCATGAACTTCAAGCAGATTGGAGTGGGTCAGTACGCTTACATCCATGTGGGAAGTTGGGATCAGGGTGGTCTGAAGATGAATGATGAGGAAATATGGAGCAACAGCAGTGAAATCATCCAATCAGTCTGCTCTGAGCCCTGCCAAAAGGCTCAGATCAAGGTGGGATTTCAAATTTAATTCAGTTCAGTTAAGTTTGAAGTTACAATTCATTCAGTTTACTATAGAGATGCTTTGCAAGATTTTTAGGATGCTTAAATTTAGATATCTGGTAATACTAATCATTCAAAATTCAGAGTGCTGAGAGAAGGGGTGTACAGCATAAGTCATCAACTCTTGGATTTTATTACTGAAAATGTAAATGAAATTATCTCAAAAGAGGCATCTGGATCGTTGGGTGGATCTATGGCCTCAGCCTGAATGGCATCAGTTTTGTGGTTGATACAAATATTGCTTCCCATGGTATCCAGTACTAACCCTATCTTCAATTTAGAAAGTTTGTATTCAGTGTTTTGTACCATTTTTATACAATCCTTACTTTTCTAAATTTTATTTCATTTACATACTTAACATATATGCAAGTCTTTGGTGTAAAATGAATTAATTTAATGGTTTGCACATTACTACATTGCATTTTGTCACCAGACTTTATAAAGTATACCCCTAAAAACATTGTTTCTTTCCTGTCCCCTATTCCGCCTCTGCTTCTTCACAAATGGGACCCAAGTGTTACAAAGGCTCATATGTTTCAAGTCATGTGTTGAGCAAAAAGAGTTTGAAGTAGCAGTTCCCAGATGGATATTAACTACACCTCTGCATAATATCCACTATAGGTTTTCTTGTTGTGAGGAAACCTGTGAAGTACAACCCACACACTAGATTTAAATTAATCCCAGATGTTCACTGCTAATCATGACAATAATATAATAGCTTACTAGAGATGCAGCTCATGCCATTGTTCAGGATTTAATCAACTTTATTTAGCTTCATCCTATTTGTGTTGAGGGGAACCTTTGTGCTCCTCTGTATCATCGCACAGTTTTCCAACATCAATCTCTATCTAATGCACCTTAAATGAAAATAAATACTGAACATCAAAAAGATCCTAACCTGGTCTGAACTTCTCCCCCAAACCAAGTTCCTTCTTTTCTGTCAAATTCAATCAAACAGGCCTCATTTCCTTTCTTCAACAACTTTGTGTTGCTGATGACTGATGACTTATATAAAAAAGGAATCTCATACAGTCTTTCACACATCTATTTTGCAGTTACTGCACCCATTCCTTTTTGAGCAGTGTGCATTTTAGCATGCTTGCCAGAGGAGAAAATGTTAAGCTTTTTAGCTACCATAAATGAACAGTGTCTTGAAAAATTGTATGGAATGTAACTCCATGACATTGTACAAGCTTTTGTCTTCTTTGTTTCCCATGACGAACACATTTTAATTGACATGTCCTTCACAAAAGTCAAGGTGTAAGATTAGCTACAGAAAGGTCCCATTGGAGCTTTGAGTCCTTTCCACCTTACTTTCAGCTGCCTGTCTCTGTGTGAATGTGTTTCCAGGTGATCCGTAAAGGAGAAGTCAGCTGCTGTTGGACTTGTACTCCCTGCAAGGAGAACGAATTCGTCTTTGATGAGTACACTTGTCGAGCCTGTACCCTGGGCTCCTGGCCTACAGACGACCTTACTGGTAAACATTTTATCTCTCACTCGAGTTATTTAAACAGGACATAAGAGGATCTACCACATCTGGTTTTGTTATAAATGCCTCTTCAGAATTTCTCTAATCTTGTTCTCAAACACTTCCTTATAACTATATGCAAAGCAAATTGCGATTAATACAGAATGACTTACAACTGTACAAATCAGCCAAAGGCTACATACCTATAACAGTACAATGGCTTTGCTCTTTTCTTATCTAGAGTTTACACTTCTAGATCACTATTTTTTTTAGCATAGCTCTTTTTTATCACTTCATATCCAAACAACTAATGATATGTTTATTGTTGTACAGTTTGTATAATTTCACATACTGTACATCATATGTTCCAATCCTTCTCTTCAGGTTGTGCACCAATTCCGGTCCAGTATGTGCGATGGGGAGATCCAGAGCCAATCGCAGCTGTAGTCTTCGCCTGTCTGGGACTCATGGCTACACTATTTGTTACTTCTGTCTTCATTAAGTAATTAAATGGATATATTCTTATATGTAATGCATATTCTTATTCAAAATCGCATGGTCAAAATGAGGACAACTTGGTAAATAGTTGGTATTACTTGGTGTAATTTCAGTTCAGTCTAGATCTTGTTTAGTATTTGTATTATGCACATAAATATTAGGTATTTATTTTATGGTGGTAATAATAAAAGTATTTAGATATAAATATATATTTATATTAGAGTGGCCCAGTCAAAGCACAGATCTAAATCCAAATGAGAATTTGTTGCACGACTTAAAACTTACGTTTTGAAATGCTTTCTATGTTTGATTGAGCTAAAGCTATTTTGCAAAGATGTATCTCAAAAAAATATCAGTCACTAGATGTGTACAACTGGTAAAGACAAACCCCAAAAGACTATTGGATGTAACTGTAGTGAAATCTACTTTTCCACAAAGTCTTGATGCAAGAAAGCTGAAAAACTGCTTGCCACACTTTGTAGATCAATTGCGCAAAAAATAGCTTTGAAAATCATGTATCATTTTCCTTTCACGCCATAGTTATCACATTTGTGCTGATCTGTCACATAAAATACATTGAAGTTTGTCTTTGTTCAGTGAACTTATGATTTTTTTTTTTTTTCTTATTTTTTTGAATGTAGGTTTTGGGACACTCCTGTGGTGAAGTCATCTAGTCGGGAGCTTTGCTACATCATTCTTGCCGGAATATGTCTGGGTTACCTGTGCACCTTTAGCCTAATTGCCAAGCCACACATTGTCTACTGCTACCTACAGCGGTTGGGGATTGGCCTGTCCCCTGCCATGAGCTACTCAGCCTTAGTTACCAAGGTACTCTCTTTTACAAAATGAAGTTAGTCATTTACTTTTGTCACTTCCTATGAAACACAGAGACACAGCTTTATTACTTGTTCATTTGCATAATCTGATGTCACATTTTTACATAACACCATAAAATGCACAACAGTTTGACACTATTTTTATCAAGCTGATTTGAATTTAAGTACTGTATTTGAAAGATAAATATGACTGTTTATTTTTTTATATCCCTATTTTACATAAAAGACGTACATCAAAAGGTTTTCCTATTTGCATTTAAAAAATTAACCGAGCGTGCATCCACAATGTGATATTTTGTTTGTTCATATGTATGTATGGTTTTAGCCACAAACACAACATAGCTGAGCTTCAGAGGCTGGCACACTGCCAGTTATAAGTGAGACAAAAATTAAGACCTGATATTCCAGGTCAAGGAAAATGATTATTCACACAAATCACCGTGAGAAGTGTTATCTTCGTTCAGGCTAACTGAAACACCCATATTCATTTTGATCTATTTTTAATTCAGACCAACCGCATTGCACGCATCCTGGCAGGGAGCAAGAAGAAGATCTGCACCAAGAAACCACGTTTTATGTCCGCCTGCGCACAATTGGTCATTGCCTTCCTACTCATACTGCTCCAACTGGGGATTATTGTGGCACTTCTTATCATCGAGCCACCAGAGGTATGTATATATATATAATATATATATATATATATATATATATATATATATATATATATATATATATATATATATATATATATATATATATATATATATATATATATTGGATGGTATTAATGAGCCTTTATTCAAATGAAAAGAGAAACATTCTTGCTTTGTTTTCTTAGGTGATCTATGATTACCCCAGCATCCGTGAGGTACATTTGATCTGCAATTTGACCACTTTGGGAGTGGTGGCGCCACTGGGCTACAACGGCCTGCTTATACTCAGCTGCACCTTTTATGCCTTTAAGGTACTTCAGGAATACATCAGTTTGTTTCTCACTGATCTTCCAATGCAGCTTGATGACTGTTTTCACAATTTTCATTTCCTTATCCAAACGTGCCTTGCATATGAATTTTTGCTTTTCTTTTTATTGTTTTTGTTTTAGAATGTCTTAATATTGTTACCTCAGTTAATGCAACAATGGAGTACTTTGTATCATCTTACATTGATACAAAGTACTGAAACGGAGTACTTTGTATCATTTTAGACTGATACAAAGTACTCCAAACCTGCTCCATGAAAAGAGAAGTTTGGATAGGTTTAAAAAAAATTTAATAATTGCATTGTACATTTGTGTTCTTTTCCTGTAAGTGCAGCTGCAGGTCTTTTGGTTTTACTCATGTCAAGTGCGACCTTATTGCACATATTTCTTTCCAGATTAGTTAAAAATTCATTTTATTTTATATAATAGTTATCACACTTTTAAGTTTTTTAAATCAAGCTCATTCATAAGAGTCTAGAAGGCCATGTGTCATTTTACGTCCAAATCTTGTATTACAAAAAACTCCATTAAAGTTTGTGTGGTTTTAAAGTGACGTGAAAAAATAGGTATTGTAAGTTGTACTGCTCTAAATTTCTATTTGTCTTTTTCTCTTTCAGACTCGCAACGTGCCAGCTAATTTCAACGAGGCCAAGTATATTGCCTTCACCATGTACACCACTTGTATTATCTGGCTGGCCTTTGTGCCCATTTACTTTGGCTCTAATTACAAGATCATAACTATGTGCTTTAGCGTGAGCCTCAGTGCCACGGTGGCTCTCTGCTGCATGTTTGTCCCTAAAGTAAGAAACAAGCACAAAAACAACATTTTCTGTTTTGAGAGCTTTGCTTCTTTCTACTCTAATTGTTATATGTTGCTGTTTTTATACTGTCAGGTGTACATCATGCTTGCCAAGCCTGAGAAGAATGTACGCAGCGCGTTCACCACTTCCACCGTTGTGCGCATGCATGTGGGTGATGCCAAGAAAGCTGCCAAGGCTGGCAAGTCATCCAGCAGCATGGCCAACCTGTTTCGACGTGGTGGATCAACACAGGACAACATAAGGTAGCTAAAGACCAGAATATGCTGTTGAAGATGGACTGTAGACATGATCAACAAGTGTGCTTGGCTCTTAAAAGGTTTCTGTTTTTGGTGACTGCCTTAGAAATGAATGGTTTTGCCATTTAAGGAAAAGCATCAAATGCATTGCATCTGAGACAAATATTACTCTCAACCGATACGCAAATTTAATAATTCACTTTTTGCCTATCAGCTTCCAATAGTAACACTTGTTACATTAGCAGTGGCATAGGCAAACCTCTCATTCTCCTTATTCTCACTAGCAAGAAGGTGCCAACTCCTCATTGATTGCATATGCATAAAACAATACAAACTTCTTTGCGGCACAACAGATGAAAAGGCTATTTTAATGTATCTGATGCTTGTACCAACCCTGTCTAATCCCATTCCTATTGCTGACATCAAAAACACTACTGCTTGAACTTATTAGAGCGTCTTGACTGCATATCCCAAAATATGTGGCACAATGTTTGCTAATACATCCAGTTGTAATGGGATTTCTCATGGCAAGATTATTTGGAACAGTTTCAAAAAAAAAAAAAAACGCACTTATTATGATGCCTTGATTTCCACCTGCATATACATTTCATGCATATTGCAAACAAATGTGTAGATTCCTCAATGGTGAGGATGATGTTTTCATATCTCTTATGGTTTTCACCAAATTTGTCATTAAAATGTGGCAAAACTTTGAGAAAATCACTCTTCTTCACATGTTGAATTCTCTTTCAGAGAATGAAAAAAAATGATTTGCTTCAGATTCTTCAAATTCTGCTGTGCACACATTTATTTTGGTTAAAGAAAAACTTGTCTGAGACCCTCATTGTTGTAGGAATTATAGATTTTTGTCATATCCTCCCAAAGTCCTGGTTGGTCACAAAACTCTCTCTCTGTGCTAAAATGTCAGAGAATCCCATCATATTTACTTGACAGGGAAAATTAATCTGTGAAAAGTCCTGTTCTCAGTCCTACCACTTCAGCAGAGACTGGATGTAATGTTGCACGCTGCAAAATGTGTGAAAGTCAGGTGGGAAGAGACAAAGCAGAGCAGACAGACTGCCAACATCAAAACAAAATGGACCTTAACATTTAAAAACTTGTCAATCTTATTTACAAAATCTGATTGATTTTTTCACCTAAAATTTTAGCTGGCCTTGAATTTTCACATAGTGGTATGCCATATGAATAATTATTTATGAACATTTACAAAGCTGTTCAAGTTTTAATTGTCTACACTGAAGACCTCAAATTACAACAGGCTGCATATGAAGCTAAGAAAAACAGCTCCCTAAGCTGAGAACAGCCAACCTCATTTGGGTTACATCCTCCCAGAGGAAAACTGGATCCTTGGAGGATTTCTCTTTCTAAGGAACATAAATGAACAAGCAAGGAGATTTAATATTACACACACAGCAGAAGACAATGGAAGACAATGGAGAATGAGATAAGGAAACCGATAGAGACAAGGTTATGTAAAATGACTTGGAGGAAAGTTATATATTTATGTATAATGTCTTGCAAAAATCTTCATATTGATTTGAACTTTCTACAAATTTAGCCTCTCTGGGAGTGTTGCAAAAAGACAGCAATTCTTAAAAAAGGCATAAGAAGACGTTTGCCAGTGGCAATACAATAGACACAGCAGGTTCTGGTCTATTGTAAATGTCACAAAAAAACCCTCCAAAAATCAAAAGACCAAAAGTCTTTAGGAGGAATACTTTTTCACTGCACTGTATATGTGAGTTATTACCAAAATGTTTTAGCAGGATTAAAATGTAACTCTCTCTTTTGCAGTTCCAATGGAAAATCTTGGGGACAGGCTGAACGGAGCTCCAGACCAAACTTGTGGAAGAGGATGTCGTTCCACGTTAAGAAAAAAGACCCAGTCGAGGTGAATCAGACTGCCATCATCAAGCCATTTTCTAAAGAAGGAGACACAACTGGGGAAAACAGTGTAACGGAGCAGTACGAAGGACCACAGCTGTCTCAATCTTTTACCTGCTCGCCCTCTCAGTCACCTCTGCCCACCATTAGTCCACATGCAGCTATAGGAAGAGGTCACCATTCTGACGAGAGAGGTGATGAGATGAAGGTTTTACCACCCTATGCACCCGAGTTCTCTTCTGGGGTCAGGCGGAGAGGTGGGGACAACGGCCAGATTGCTGCGATTCTAGATGGTGGGGACATCAGTATCATCAGCGTGGGTGAAATTGGCCAAACTCAGGGTACCACCATCATGGACCAGATCAGCTGCGTTGTCAATCGTTTCACCGCCAACATCAGTGAGCTGAACACCATGATGCTGCCAGGAGGACCCACTCTCCCGCCTTCCACCACAGCGCCGCCCGTTGCCTCAGATAACTCCCCATGTCCATCCCAGTACTTCAATAAACAGACACCTTCTACTGTCACCACATACGCCGAAGTGACTGCCGCCTCCAACTGCTGCGACAATCGACCTAAGATTTACGAGCAATTGGCTGGGACTTGCACGGGTGGGAGACGGGCAAAGAATCAGGAGGAGTTGATGGCTCTGACACCGCCGTCCCCATTCAGGGATTTCTCTCTGAGCTCTGATGAGAGCTCGCCTCCCTCGCTGTCCCCGGCTTCTGAGGCCGAATGTGACCAGCTGCTGCTGAGACACTACCAGAGCTCCTCCTCTCTTTAGACCTCCTCTCTCCTATTTGTGTTTGTTTTTTATGCAGAGTATTTGTAACTCTGTAAAGACAGCCATTTTTGCCAGGACCAAACTTTCAATGCCTTTCTACATGTGGATATTGTAGATAATCAGTTGTTTTTTGTAAAGTTTTCAGATGGGACTGAATATGCTTCAAATGTCAGTTTGGCTAGGATGAAGAAAAGAACACTACTTAGACTTATATAGGAAAAAAGATTTTTTTAAGCAATTCCAGTCAAACATTTATAATTGCTGGTAATCTACACAAACATCACTTATTTGGGAATTTGAATCATTAATTTGAACCATTTCTTTGTAGAAGCTGGCATATAGTTTTAATAAGATAACATGCAATTCTGTAAAACTAGAAATGAGTGGCCAAGTTACAATTTGTTATTATTATTTTCATTTACACTGGATCAAAATTACGTGCAGAATATTTACATTAGATTATGCTTACATTCCCCAAATAACAGCAATAATGCATCGAGTTGTTATTGTGGACTGTGACACTAATGTTCCAGCATCTTGCAATTTACAATTTTCTTGAATCTTGATAGTTCTTCTGTTGTTCCAAGAGATTCTGACCAGTTTTCTTTCATTTGAAAATGGCTGTTTGGATTAGATGGCTTTAACTTTGGCCAAATTTGTGATTACACAGGAAAATCATCAGAAGCAGATGTCACTACTGGTTTTGTAACAGATAAAGAGGATTAGTAAGCTTGTCAAATAGCTTCAATGACATGAATAAAAGCCAAAATAAAAGTTACATTTATGCCAATGATGAATATATCTAAACTTTTGACAGGGACCACACCATCGAAAAATTTGAAACTATAAATAACACAAAATGTATTAAATAAACTAACAAAAAACCTGAACTGAACTTAGTGATAATCTTAATGTGCTGATACTCAAGAGCATTTAAAGACTTTCTACTGCTTTTTTTCTAAACATGTTTCCAACTCCAAAGAAAACATGGATGTTAAGCTGATGACTATTTTATTTATAAGCTTTTAAATGACATCTTTCTTTATTCAAGTAATTCTTTTTAATTGTTTTATGAAATTAATTAAAATTACATATGGATCTCAATCTAAATCAGTGCGTGTTTTAAATTGTATTTCAGTTGTATATTTTTAGCTATTTATGATCACTGAAAGGATGCTTTGTTTTTTTAGCTCCTTGATGAGTTTCTATATAATGATGTTTTGCTTTTATTACTGATGAAACCTCAGAAAAAAATAAGTTTAAGATTAGAAATGGCATTTTTTTTTACTCACTCACTAATTCATTGGCAACCCTTATAGACAAAAAAAATTGTGAATCCTTAAGAAAAAACATACAAAAACTGCAAATATTGCATTTTGTTGGGCATTCTCTTCCATTCAGCAAATCCTCATCTTCTGAGTGGAAAGAAGCTATTTCCACTCAGAATCCAGGGAATACAAGCGACTGTCTGAGTGAACACAGTCATCAGGAATGTAACCCACAAAGAGCTTAAAGACACCTTGGATGTTTCTTCTCAATATGACTTAGCTGAATGTATGTTGAGGTAGGATTTCTAAGAGGACCAAAACATTTTTTTATCTCAGGATGCATCTGAAATAAATTGTTTCTGACTGCAACTCTTTCCTGCTGGATTAGTAAAGTTGCTGTTTCCACTTTGCATGATCACTCTCTTTAAATACGTTAACTTTAAGTATCTTGGAATTAGAATTTTAAGGTTCTTAGATACAGTAGCAAAGTCATTATACAAGTAGTGAGCTTGATTGTTTTAAGGCTTAGTTTTAGCAAGAGGCAAGCAAACAGTGTTGACAATGTGTTGGATTTTTCCCGCCTTGCTGTGCCAGACTCCTGTTGTGAATTGAGTTTTGTTTCTTTAAAATAGGTCACAGAATTTACTTTTGTTTGCCTGGTTCTTTCAACTCACTCGGTACTCTGTTTTGTTATGTTTTGAATATTTGAAGTTCTAGATGAATGTTTGTATTCACAGACTCACAGCTTTTTAGCCTGTGAGACAAAACTGATATTTATGTTGCAGCTATACTTTATGTGTTTATCTATTTCTTTATTTAAAGTTTGGCTTCTGTCCTTTATCTCTGTTAATATTTATTCAGTATTTTTTTTAAACTGAGTTATAACTAAGTATAACCCTGGAAAGTTACCATATTTGCATGTACCTTTGTACATTTTGCATACTAAAATGTGAGTTTGTGTTTGTAACTTATTGAAGATAGCCTGTATTTTTTTTTTAAATAAATTTCTGACAGACTTTTACTGCATTAAAGGAATCCATTTAAATTTAGCTGCATTCTTTTTGCTGTTACTTTCAGCTTCTAGTACAACTTAATTTAAAAAGACAATCAAAGAGTTGCAGATTTATTTTTTTTTACATTCAGACATTACTGGTTGTAGGTTTATTCACATAGTAAATATTTTTAATTAACAAACTGGAACATAAGCAGTCCTTTTTTTAAATACATATTTTTAGCCTTAGTTACTTAAATATACTGTCAAAAAAAGAACTTAATTGTGTCAATTCACCATGCGACAACTATTAAGCATATAGGAATTGGGGCTTCTAGGGTTCCCTTCATTAAATAACGCTTGATAGCTAAATATTTATGCAGAACTTGCCCATGGTTATATGTATGCCCCCATCAGCCCAGTAACGTCTTTTATATGCAGTGCTCATTTTTACATTCTGCACTGATAATTTGTTGCAGCATTAGCAATTTCAAAAATGAAAATGACTTTGTGACTCAATGTTTTTGATATGATTGTCATTTGAATGGGGGCAGTGTCATTTAAAATTTACTTTTTAAACCTTTATATTTTTTTATATCGCTCTATGAACAAATCTATGACGAGTGAAACTGATTTTTTCAGACATGTTTGAGAAATACTTGAAACTCTCATAGCAGCCATTCAGAGAGCTCAAAGTGCTTGCTCTCACCAAGCACCACCTATTGTACAAAGCTCCTTGCAGCTGCAGTCTCCAGCTAAACTTCCACCTCACCAAACACCCCTCCTCCACAACTCCTCCAGCTAAACTGCACCAGACTGGTAGCAGTAATTAGCAAAGACCTGTTGGAATTGGATGTCTGCAAAGCTTACAATTCAAAATACTTCTCAGTCTTATGTTTCTAAGAACTGTTGTGAGCAGCATTGCTGTTGTGACGGGCTGAAGGTCTGTTGGAAAAAGTGCCTTCTTAAAGAGATAAAAGCCAATTTCAAGATATGATATATTCTGCAATTTTTTAAAACTGAAGGTAACATATTTCCATGCTTTTAAAGTCAATATTAGGGGCGTGAGAAGGGGGTAACACCATGATGATCCCGCCCTCGTATTTAGGCAAGAGCTGCCACTGCATTTGCCTCAGAAATAAAATATGAAGTAGATCTTGTTTAAATAATTCTTCTTCAGATTGAGATTTCTTTCGTAATGAATGTTGTACTTTACTTATATATATATATAAAAAAAATTCCCACAAGAATTATGCTGTATTATTTCATTAAATTGTGTTATTCAGCGCTAAAACACAGATAACTTGGCAAAGCCGCAGTCATAATCTTAGGAAGTAACATTACATTACTGAGTAGCTGAAAAAAGTCAGTATTGCGACTGAGCGGATGAAAACCCCGCCTTCAGCTGTCAGGGTGCACATCACTTCTCTACAGGGTGGCCAGGGCAGGTCACAAGTTTCCGAGAACGGCCTCTGAGCAATCACACACTCGCGACATGGAGGGCGGTTCCTGAACCCGGGAGACTGAGGCTCGAAACGCAGTTTAACCGTGTCAAAGTTCCTGGGAGCTGCCGCCCTGTGAGACCCAACAGGTGGAATGACGAACCACACTCTGCAACCCAACGGCATGCAGAGTCTCCGGAAGGAGCACCTATACAAGGTGCTGGTCATCGGAGACCTCGGAGTCGGGAAGAGCTCCATCATCAGGCGTTACGTTCACCAGACCTTCTCTAGTAACTACAGGGCCACGATCGGAGTGGATTTCGCTTTGAAAGTCTTGAACTGGGACTCTGAGACTGTCAGACTTCAGCTGTGGGACATTGCAGGTGGGACAATTTAAGAAGCCGGTTATATGTGCGGAAAAAAATACTGCAGTGACAGTAGGTTGAGCATGTGCAGAAAGCTAGTAGTGATAGACGCGTATTCCACGCCTTTTATGGCCTGACTGCAGGGTTTTTGTCATTTTAAATGTGCAAGAATAGGGAAACTTAGAATCATAAAAATGTTTAGAAATGCCATCTCATTTCCTGGAGAGAAGCTGATAATTTAGGTAGATAACACTTATCTCCAAACTTGCAGTGATCAGCCTTGTAAAGTTATGAAAGACAAACTAAATATGCGCAGTCATGAGGGAGCTGCTGTCTGTAAAGTAGACCAGCACATTGTTTCCTAATCATTTTTTAGGTATGATGTTACATCATGTGATCAGGTCCATGTGAGGGAGATTTAAAGGCAAGTCACAGGAATGTCATTCCAGCCTAAATAAAACAACAAAAGATCCTCCCATAGTCATTTGGATACACGTGTAGAAAATGAATTGCATTACAAGTTAGATTTAAGTCACATTTACAGTGCATTCAAAAAGTATTCACAATGCATCATTTTAAAGTGAAAGGAAAATGTTTTTAGAGATTTTGAAAAGGTTTCACAAATAAAATTCTGAATAGCATTTTTTATGTCTCCAACTTCCTTTACTCTGTTTCCTGTTAATAAAGTCAATTGCAACTGAGAAGTTTGTTACAGAATGTTAGTGAACAAACAACATCATGAAGGCCAAGGAACACATCAGACAAGGCAAGAAAAACAATTTTGTACACTTTGACGATCTTGCTGATGTTTAATGCACCATTAGAGTAGTGAAAGATGATGGCACAACTGCAAACCATCTAACAGACAGGCCAGTCATAAAGCGCTAATTAGAAAAGCTGCCAAGATGTCCATGCTCTGGAGGAAAGCCATGAGAAGTCTCAAAGTTTACCATATTTCACAAAGGGAGTGCTACGTCAAACTGAGACTCGGATTGAACATTTTGATCTCACTACAAAACCATGTGTAACAATCCTGACTTCATAACCATGTTAACACTGAAATAGAGTAATTCCATTCAGGAATATTTAATTAATCCTCCAGGCTGTGTGCATACTCCTCCTTTAGAGAAAACAGGGAGGCTGGTCAAAGTTGTTGGAAAGATTGATGGAGCTGCAGGGCAGTTTTAGAAGAAAACCTGTGAGAGTCTACAAAACACTTCAGTGTGAGCCAGATATTAACCTTCCATCTTCAATATGACAGTTAATTTTAAAGGATAGGAAGCCAATTTCAAGGCATTGCATTCTAACTCTTAGAACAGTATGCATACACGAGACGAACGTTTTTTAGACAACATAGATATGTTTTATATAATCAGTTTTGCAGTATTCAGGTCATGCAAAGCAGAAACTTGCATCATCAAATGACTGTGTGTCAAGTGATTCGTATGATGGGAGTGTGTCTAAGACTGGTGTCATGCCACTGCAGACAGCATTCCCTTATGAGTAAAACAATTTATTGGATGAAAGGAGGAAGTTGTTCCTCCACTGATCTTCACTGATCTTCCTGCTCGTGATGGCAATAAATTGCCATCTTGCAATGCTTAAAGTACTAATTCCTCTCTTCTTTACATTTCTGTGGAGGGTTCCAATGATCAGCAAGCTGAAAACCTCTGCTACAGATTAAATATTCAGATTAATAAGGTAGAGACTAAAGGAATTTACACATGGCAATATTTTTAGAAAATATTGATAATAAAGTTATATAGTACTACCTACAGACAAGTATTATTGTTTATTCTGAGCAGGGACAAATAGTAGCATTGACAGTTTAATTGCAACGTGATGGTAAGGCTACAGGAATGTGTTGTTTCATTGGAATACAGGAACAGCTGACTGCTGTCTTGTTGCCAGCTGCCTGAGATATACTTCTGGGAAAAAATTTAGAAAAACAATGAAAACGTCTCATCATAGTGATGCTCTGGAATGCTACAGTCCTAAAGCATGACTCTGTCTGTGCATGTGCTCGTCACAGGTCAGGAACGATTTGGGAACATGACGCGCGTATACTACCGCGAAGCCATGGGTGCCTTCATTGTGTTCGATGTGACACGGCCAACCACCTTTGAGGCCGTCATTAAGTGGAAAGAAGACCTGGATTCGAAAGTAATGTTGGCTAATGGACAGAGCATTGCTACCGTGCTGCTGGCGAATAAGTGTGATCAGGGCAGGGAACTGAGCAACAATGGCATCAAAATGGATCAGTTCTGCAAAGACCACGGCTTTGTTGGTTGGTTTGAGACGTCAGCAAAGGTGAGAAATATTTAAGATTTTCTGTTTCAGTATGTGGGTTTTGGCATTTGTTGTAATGGATGGATCCAACTCCAGTTCAACTCTCCCTCAAATTTGAAAGTTTAGTTTAACATAATGATCCATGCATGACCCATATGGAGATATATATTTTTTTATGTACCTCTACCACACCAGACAAGGTGTAGGTTGTGCAAGGAGGCCCCTGAGACAGTCCAGCACATAACAGCTGGTTGCAAGATACTGGCAGGGAAAGCTTACATGAAACTACATAACCAAGTGGCAGGCATAGTGTACAGAAACATCTGTGCAGAATATGGACTGGAAACTCGGATATCAAAGTGAAAAACACCCCCAAAGGTGGTGGAGAACGCCAGAGCTAAGATCCTGTGGGACTTCCAGATCCAGACAGACAAAATGGTAATGGCGAACCAACCAGACATTGTCGTAGTGGATAAACAGAGGCAAGACGTTGTGGTAGATGTAGCAATACCAAGCGACTGCAACATCAGGAAAAAGGAGCACGAGAAACTGGAGAAATACCAGGGCCTCAGGGAGGAACTGGAGAGGGCCTGGAAGGTGAAGACCACAGTGGTGCCTGTGGTCATTGGGGCCCTCGGGGCAGTAACCCTGAGGGCGCAGTATCTTGGCACAGGTAGCGGACCTGAGCTCAGAGGATAAGAACCACACGAGATGGGTGAGAAGGGAATTATTTTTCATTATTTATTTATTTATTTATTTATTTATTTTTTTTTTGCATAAATCTATGTGAGAGATCATCTTGCACTTTGTAAGTGCAAAAGCCTTTACCTGGTGATCTTCAGTGAACCATTCAATCAGCCTGTTGCAAATCTGTGGTGCATTATAAAAGCATTCATTCTTCTATTAACTATTTTTTTCCCATGATAGAACCATAAGCTTCAACGTGATTTCTTTCTTTCTAAAACTGCACATAAGGCTTCAAACGATGCATCAAATGATCTGAAATGCTGTGTCTTATCAACAAATGCTAAGCTTGAAGCATAATAAAATAGACAGGATCAGGATCTTGTCATTGTTACAAGATTAAATCTGGCTTGTAAATAAGAAGATTGTGGAAATGTAAAACAGGAGCTGATTCCAGATTCCTTATCCAGGTAATTGGTGCTATTGAATTAGATTGCAGATTATATCACAAAGCACACACTGTTTTTTTTTTGTTAGCAAAATCTTTTTCTCGCTATTCATGAGGACAGTATTTTTGGAAATAAACTACTTTCAAATAACTGCCACAAACCTGATCAAATAACACATCCTATTTATTGTGAGGCTTGAATAGGAAAATTCAGCTTAGTTTGAAAATAAAATGTATGTGAAAAAGTTTCTTTAGAGACTTCTGATTTTACTTTTGTCACATCTACATATTTTGGAGTAAATAACACCTTTGTCAGGTAATGATTTAATTTATTAAGAGAATAACTATCCAACTCTGCCTGGGACTGTATAAAAAATGATTGCCCCTAAACATAATAACTGATTTTAGGAACCTTACCTGCAACAACTGCACTGTCAACCATTTGCAATAATTAGCAATGATTTTTTTTACAATGCCATGGCCCCCTCTTCCTTGTTGAACCAGTTTATTGGCATTCATTGGATGGTTTGAGCACGAACAACCTGTTCAGTGTCATGCCCAAGCATCTTAGTCAGGTTTACAGCAGGACTGTTGACTAAGCCACTCCAAAACCTTTATTTTATCCTTAGAGCCATTCAGAAGTGGACTGACTGGTGTGCTTGGGCACCAGTCAGTCAGGAAGTGGGATCAGGCAGTGAGAGAGCCTGTAGAGAATCCACATATCTGAACTCCATGCAAAAAAGACCCCAGGGTGTAACTTTAACCCAACACATTCTTGCTTCAAGGCAACAGTGCTTCCAATTGCACCACACTGCAGCTGAAAGTGGAATTATTTGATTCAAAAGCATTTTCTTGCTCTGTTCTTAAGATTTCACACAGTTACCAAACCATAACTGATGAAACAGAAATTTGGATTTTCTTCACCTAATGATTCACAGACGTAATACATAAATATGTAAAATATGTTTTCTCTTTAGGTCACTAAAATCACAACGGAATCAAACGTCTTAGTTATACTTAAAATGTATATGGATCCTGTCCTAATATAATTTAGTTCAAATTGTGTATGTTGACTTGCTTGGCAAGTCTTTGTTCAATAATTTCAGTTTAATTTTGAGAAATCCAAATGTACTTCAGTACTTTCACATTTCCTTAAATACAAGTAGTGTTGTACTGATTCTCACATCCTCTGTTGACACTGACATGTTGGAGTGTGCCATCTTTCTTTTGCCACTAAGACTCAACATTCTCAAAGGGTGAAGTTCCTATAATGAGTCTGTTCGCCCAAAAGAAATGCACAGCATTGCAGCAACATTTTAAATTAATTTGTTTCAAACTAATAGAGGTTTCCACGAGGTGTATACTGATAAAAACTACTTTCACATCTCTTGGTGGTCAAACCTAGTGCCACAGTTTTCATTACCTTCATTGTGATCAAAATATTTAGGCATGATTTTCTACAAAAAAAAAAAAAAAAAAACAGTGAAATTGTTTGGGGGATTTTAGCTGTTGTTGAGCACTGAAAACTATTTTACTTGATTAGTTACACAAATTATTTTACTAGACAATATTGAAAACTTCCATCCATCCATCCATCCATCCATCCATCCATCCATCCATCCATCCATCCATCCATCCATCCATCCATCCATCCATCCATCCATCCATCCATCCATCCATCCATCCATCCATCCATCCATCCATCCATTTTCTTAAACCCTTGTCCCATTGGGGTCAGGAGGCTTGCTGGTGGCCAGACCATCACACATATTGAACACATTATAAAGTTTATTTTTAATATGTACAGTGAAGTCTTACTGGGCTTTCAAATAAATTAATTTGTACAGCATACATAATGACAAAAAATAGTTTCATTACTGTTCTGTCAATTTTTAACATACCATATCACTTTTTTAGGACAATCTCAATATCAGCGACGCTGCAAACTTCCTGGTCAAGCACATCATGGCCACAGAGAATGACATCCTAAAGTCTGTGGTGCCAGACACCATCTCCCCGCAGATGGACTCCAGCAGACAGATGAGCTGCTCTGGATGCTTCAAATAATCAAGCAATGGAAGGAAGGAAGAAAGGATGAATGAACATGTGAGAACAGAGAAAGGACAGGACTTTAAAGGAAATCCTACACTGTGCAGAATGGCACAGTATGAAGTCTGTGTGCCATGAAGTCGAACATTTATTTGTTTCTAGTGACCAAAGCTAACATCTCTCTTTTTTTAGAGTGCCTCTGAATTGTGGTCAAAATGCATTTCTGGAGATTTGTGAACTGTTTGACTAATACTACAGAAAGCATATGCAAGAGTAAGTAACAGGTATACTCCTTTTATGAAGATTATCTGCTTCCTTCTCATATGAATTCCTCACATTAAAGATCAAAGCAATTTAACTGACCCAACAAAGCATAGGTGCAGTGAATGCAACATTTACATGGACTTATTCATGGATTTGCAGTGTTTTGGTCAAAATAACTCATGTCTCTGTTTGCTTTTAAAGCTGTTGGATATTATACTCTTGGAGACTGTGGGTTTCCTTAACATTATTCTAACAAGGCATATAGGGGGCTGTGCACCACTGTGAGTGAAGCACACAAAGTAACTCTGTGTTCATCTGCACATATTTTATTATGATTTTAAGTTATTTACTGAGTGCTTTTGTGAGTATTTTGAGATGCATGTTGAGTTTGAAAATACATCCACCAACAGACCGTGTAAGAATTATTTAAGTTTGGACTTGAAGTAAGAACACGGTGTTATTTATTGTAACAGTGTGGTTGGACTGTGCCAATGTGAACTGATAAAACATCTTTGCTGTAACAGCTAAAGGTTGATGTGACTTTTCAGACATAATGATGACCATTTTTTATCAGAGCTGAATAAAATATGTGCATGTGGTAGGTTTGCAAAACACATGAAGTTTTTAATCTTAATGTTGTAAACTGAACACACTTCAATTCGTCCAGCAAAACCTCAGTATCCATGGTAACAGGAATCTTTTTATGGGGTTTGCTCTACCATCTATGTAGAGCTGCGTCTCGCTGTGTCTCGCTGTGCTGTGCGCACAAACACACACTAAAGAACACATAAAGACGCTGCATGTCCTCTCTCCTACTCAGTGGCTTTGTTGTTGTTTCACTGTTTTTTTCCCCATGTATTCCTTTTTGAATTTAAAGGTTATTTCTGCTCGTCAGAGTACTGCCATTTATTACTAGTCAGCTGAGTGTTCTGCACAAAGTCAACATTTGCCTTTTTCTTCTAACCATTAGATTCTCAGCTGGTGTCAAGTCTACATCAATCAATGTCTCACCAAAATAAAAACTATACATCATAATTGCTGGCATGGCTTTAAAGATGTGTAAACAGTGTTAAGCTGCATTCATCTTTATTTGTAGTAGAAAGGGGACATACTGAGATATTTAACAAAATTTAAGTGTGCAATTTGAGTTTATTTATTAAAATGCTAAATTAAGAAATAGCTATTTTTAAGCAAAGTTACAAGGGTCATATTAGTTTTCTCCTACAGCATCCAGAAAGAGTGATCTTTGATCATTCCTCTTTCTAGAATCTTTCTGGTTGACCCAGAGTTCTGGTTCCTTACTTATGGATGCTTCTTTTAATCTTGTCCCACAAAAAGGGTTGCTTTTAAACCATTTCTGTAGCTCTTTGGACATAATGTTTTAGACCTTGACATTTTTTAGTTTAGTTTAACAACATTTTTTCTTCTGACTGGCCGGACTTGAGTCTGATCAACAGTCTGTGGGCGAAGCTGAAGATTAGAGTCGCAGCAAGATTTGGATCTCATCAAGTTATCAAAAACCAGTGGAAATATGTTATTTATTTTTATTCAAACTGATTATTCACTTTCAAGGTTGATGTTACAGTTTGATTTGAGAGATGACTACTAAGAAGTTTTAGTTAAATAAATGTATTGGTTGTTTAACGACTAAACCACCGCTTTACCTTATGAAACATTTGATGCTGCTTTTCATTGTGATACTGATGAATTTGAAATAAATGCCTAATTGGAGAGAACTTGGAGGCTAATATTGAGTTTTATTTTATTGTCTTATGTTTTTCACTTTAGCATGTGGCTAAGCGTAATTAACCTCTGCTTCACATTATGTTCATCCTCCCTGTTCAATTATGTATTCTTATTTAAACATTTTGTGACACTGTAGAGATGACCAAAAATTATTTAAGGAAATTGAGTTTTGTTTTCTCCCACTAACTGTATGTATTCACATAAAAGGTTGAGATTTTTTAATTGTCTGCTGTACCTTAATTATAAGGTAGAGCAGCATTTTTAAGTTGCTGTCCATATTTGTGGAATTAGGATAATTCCACAAATTATTCTAATTCCATCGGATTCAAGGAATCCGGAGTGAAGGATTCCTTGAATGTCGGATTCAAGAAATCCCGTTCCACGGGGAAGTTTAACTGGATGAAGGTCTGTGACCTCATGTGACTGCCTGTGATATCAGCATAGTGGCACATTATATAAAGCACAGGACATTGAGAAAATCTTTTTGTTTCTTAGTTTAAAGGACATAAGAAATACAAGTTTTAGTTTGTATTTATTTATTGTGCTATTAAACAAGATGGCAAAATAAACCAGTTTCACACATACCTTGTGTTTTCTCTTTATCATTTACATTCTCAAAAAAAGAAAAATTATTTTAATCGTATTTAACCTTTAGCCTGGTACAAACTGTTTTTACTGATGCAGAAGATTGCAAATGACTTTAAGGGTCAGTGAAAAAAATTACCAGGTTTTATTAGTTTAGGCTGAAAAATGTGTGGGTTTGTATGCTTCTGTTCAGAAGGATCCAGGACTCTCAGGTCCCTCATTAATCGGACACATGACTGGATTATTCTCCGCATGAGGGATTAGATTTGGTCATCTGCTTTTGGCTCCAGTTAACGCTTCTCTTCTAGAATGTGTAATTGAGGCCCTTGGATTCAATGAATGGTCTGAAAAGAAGAAAAGATAGCAATTCCGTATTTTTCAGTGCACTCTTCTTTATTTAGTCATGTAAAATTAAGGGTCACGATGTTTGGTTGTTTGGTAAAATAAGATTAGCCGTTTTCTCATGCTGTTGTTGACACGGAAGCATCGTTCCATTCCCTCTTCTTTTCATCTATTCTGCCCAACTCTTGATGTGGTTTTGAGGCCGTGTTTGATTACACAGTCTATCTGGAAAGTTTGTACTGAGCCAGTGTGAAACCCAAGGGGAACATGTTATAAAGCTTTTTTTTTTTTTTTCAAGAGAAAGACAAACAAATAAACAATAACAGTCATAAACAAAGCCATAAAATTAACATTTTAAAATCTATGTTGAATTAGCACTGGGATGAAATTCTAAAAATATGGCTTGTTACCTTGACAACAGGTGGCACAGATTTAGCCAGTCTTTGTTGGGATTATGCACCCAGTATATCCTGCTATCTGTGGTTCGCACAATTTGCCAGAAAACCACTTACACCAAATGTTCATTGAAGCAGAAGAAAAAAAAACAGAGCTGAAAATAGATTTTAGGAGGCATAAATGTCTCATTAGGATGTAAAAGGAAGGTCTCCAGATTAACCAAACCTGAACACAGCAAATACATGCAATTCAACAATCAACTATTTGTATATATAAAAAAAAAACAACTTCTAGATTCTAGATGGTTTTTTTGGAATTATGTCCACATTCAATCAACCCAGCTTTCTTTTATCTCCATATTAGTTAAAAGAGCTCAAACAAAATTATGGGATTAATGTGTCTACTGATTAGTTGCATTGTCCTTCCTTCTAAAGAAGTTAACCTTGTTTTAACTTCCAGTATTTGTTCATGCAGAGCCATCTATTGTCAAATTCAAGAAATTGCAGGTTTTTAGTCACTTTGCCGGAAAAGATTAAAATATGCCAGAATTGTGTGTCCTGATTAGATTTCATGTTGAGGAAAATATTATGATTAAGCAATATTTAATTTAGAAATACTGAAATAAAAAAAATAAACTTTGTTGGGTATCATTTTAGAAAGAGAGTTAAGTCACTGGAGAGAAAGCAGATCTTCAACGTAGTCACAAGTTTTGTAAAGGAAACACTATTCCTACTCACTGAAGAGCATATTCACAGTTCCCACATAGTCGGTTTGCAGAATTGGGCCTTCTGATCTCACTTTCACTTACACTCATAATGTGTGAGAGGGACAAGAGTTTTTCTGAATAACAAAAGGTTTCGTAGTCTTTTGGAGAGTATCAGTCTATGTTTTCACACGTTTCTGCTAATAAAAGAAATATGCAGAGAAAGACACGGGGAGTGATTAATAAAAAACAAAGTGATTAAAGTAGTGTTTTTCTGCCTTTCAACATATGTTGAAGAAAACATACTCTACATAGGTGTAAACAAGGTGTTTTCAAATACACCTCAGGAAGCGTGTTCAACTCATTGTAGAAAGACAATGATGGAGAGTTATTTACTAAACACAGCATACTTTTATAGACGATTAAAGAACAAGAGAAAACGTGCAATAGTATGACTAAGGTATGAGATTTAACAGAGATGTATTGTAGCTGAAGAGACAAATTTAATCACAATGAATTTGTCAATATTGAAAAATGAGCCCTCTCCAGAAATAAAATAATCACCTTCACCACTTACACTAAGCACAGACGAATTTTATATATGAAGGAAATGAACACAATTACCATTGAGTATTTTATAAAAATTATTTTTTATATATTTCAACTGAGAATGCCAAGGTACAAAAGAAAAACACAGAAATGAAAGAGCTGGAGGTCCTTTCAGTTACCATAATGTGGTAAACTTTTGTAACAATGTATAGCCACAAGAGGGCAGTCAGTACCACACTGATTAAGAAGTAGTGTAAGAGTTCAAGTTTGTATTATAAAATATATTCATTCACCTTATATCTTAATATACACATAGCTGAAATAAAAATATGCACATAATGATTAAGTAAATCAAAGCGGACCACAGCTGGTTCAAAACATGATTCATCTTAAATATAATAGCATATCAAGAAAATCTTAAGTACATGAAAAGCAACTGTAGATGAGAAGTATTTAGCTACAATAGATGTAATAGCTAACCTAAAAGCCACAGATAAAGAATCAATAAAGGGATTTAGAAAATTAACATAAATCTATTTGTGCTACATCAGTAGGTTCTGCATAATTTGTTAACTTGACCTTTGTCGGTGATTTAAATAATGATGTTTAAGTTAATAAGTAACAAGCCAAATATTCCACTACCACAGGACGTGCTTCAAAACAAAACAAGAAAACAAAGTGTTCTTTAAAGTTATTCATAGTACTGCATACAAAAATGGGGATGGTTTTTCTACTAAAACCTACTAATGAATCTAAACGTTGGCCAGGTGTAAAGCCTCACACTTTGGAAAGATACTAAAGCGTTTTCTATATAGTTTTTAAAAAAATTCTTACTGTTAAACGAAGCTAAATTTATGTTGCTAGGTTTCTAACGAGCTAGGACAGATTCGTGGTTCCAACAAGAGCTTTGTCACTGTGGTTGACCGAGGGAAAGAGACCACAATGACTGCAAGAAAAATGAGAGCCAAACTGTTGAAAAGCTAAACATAGCACACTGTGCCAATGCATAGACTTTTGGATTAGTTACAGTAATTTGCAGAAATCCTCGGTCATTTATCATCACTTTATGGCTTACTTCTAAACAGCCTCATTTTTTCTAAATATGTTAGTGCAAAAAATAACAATAGTTTTCAATGCTATCTGGATCTTTAAAAGTTTCTCTTGGCACACTGACTGCAAGATTGTTCTTTGTAATCCAGTACATGACCATTTTCAAAGCAATGTTTTGTAAATGGTTCTTGTCTGCATTTTTGTCTGATCATGTGGTGGTTCTTGCATAAACCCTCGGTAAACCCTTTCTTCCACTACTATGGCATTAAGGTGGGCAATGACCATTCAAGTCAACAAGCCCATACTACAGATAATTAGAGGGATGAATTCAAGGTGGTTGTAATACTCAAGTAAAATGAAACAATAAAAACACTTTAATTTAGAACCAAATAATAAGCTGGCAATCAAAAACCACCTTTACCATTGTTAGTCACTCCTGGTCTTCAGCAACAATTTCTTATAGTGTGCACAAAAAAGGGGAGTTTTCTCCATTTCCACTAGTTGATCATAAAAAGAAATTGTAGAAAGGTTGTTTGGGGACAACTAAACAATTTGTTTTGGTCTTTTGCCATAATTAGGAGAAAGACATTCAATCACTGTAAAGAACTGCTTCAACCCATAAATCACTTGAAGGCAAAATGACCCGTCTTTTTTGTTACCCGTAACAAACCTCCAGAGCAAAAGAATATTTTGGGACTTGTATCACAAACTCAGAATTTGCCATTGTTTCCACCAGACTTGTAAAAATACCAAAGATAGGGAAATATTTCTTTACATCGAAAACATTTGCATCATTATCTGAAATCTTAAGTAGATGTAACAACTGTAGAATAATATCTGTAGATTAATTACTTTTAAAGAGATAAAAGTATTTTGGAAAATAAGCAACAACCTAATACAATGTTGATAGCAATAACAGTGATATTCTCTATTTGGTTTGAACAGTTTTTTATTTAAAGATTTGTGGGCTTTTTTTTATCCATCCTAAACCTACCTATTATTTCTTTTTGAGCACACAAGGACAAGCCATAAATGGTAATTTTTAGGCTTACAAAGTTTACAGAAATAGTTATTCCTTTAAAAGATAAAAAAAAGTTTTGCCTCTCTAGGGTAAACCATTAAAAAATATATGATTTATAAACCATGGCTCAGTAGGACACCTGAAAACTGCCTGATGCTTTCTGATCCTTAACTGTCATTAATCTACACTTTGCAATGCCAGTATCGGTTCTTGCATGAATGATGCCCTGACTGCTGAATCAAAATCAAGTTATTTATAATCAATATAGAACAACTGAGTCTAGATTTGGATTGAGTTTTTAGGTCTCATCCTTATAATTATCAAACTGCATTTTAAAGAATTTAATGAAAAATAATACAAAACATGTTCATCCAGAAATTTGCAGATAACATTTTTTGAAGCGCTTGTGTCAGAGTGGGTCCCTGGGCAGTGTGTAAAACACTGTGTAATGCTGCAAAAACTGGTGACAAATAACATTGTGGATTTGGGAATGTAAGTAAAATAAATCAATGTGACCCCTCCCAAATATATTTGAGTTAAAAAGCGAATAAAATAATCAAGAAATGTAAAGAATCTGCTGACTATAGCGATTATACTGTCTGCAATCTCTGGACATTTCTATCCTTTGGTCACTGTCCACGATAATGTCCGAGCAAATGCAAAAGAATCCTGTACAAATTAATGATCATCATAGTCTGAGGCACTGTGAGTTTGCTTCAGTTTTTCTGTCATGTACTTGGATCTGTGTGTGGGTTAAGTGTATCTTCCTGCGATGCTGCATTTTTTGGATGAAGTGATGATCCGTGTTGTGACAGAAGCGCATCTATCTGCGGAACCAATGAGGACAGAGGGCAGTCTGAAGAGGTGGAACTGATCAACACCTGCAGCTGGTCTGGTTGTAGGCTTGCTTCACTGCAG